GCGGTGGTGGTGAAGAGGAAGAGGAGCGGAAACGCCAGGTTGGTCTGAAAAACACTGAAGAAAAAAAACGTTCCTTTCTGATAACACGTTTTATTTGTAAAGCACCTTTCATTGCCAAAAGTGCTGGAAGTAAGTACAGTGTATTTATAAAGCACTTCTCCCAGACAGTCACAAAACACTTGACAAAGCATTAAAACATCATACGAATCATGAAAGAAGTGCTAAAAACACAATACAAGGGGCGTAAAAGAAACACAAGTTTAATCAAACTTCTCAACTTAAAACATGTAGTGTAGCGACGACATTCAGATGAAATGAAGAGGCTAAGTTTGGGTCTTCATTGTGACTCGTTCCTATTAAAGAGTCCGTACTGAAGTCCCTGTTCAATCCAATTTGAATAAAGAAAACATTTACAGCAAGACTGTAGAGTCAACTAACGGTATCTGAACCAAATACCTTAAAGTACACCATGTGACAATTGCAGGAAGTGACAAATTATAACTGTGGCGTCAACAATGATAAGATTAGGAATAACCAACAATTGCTAAACAAGTTTGTTGGCGCTTGCATATAGATTTAGTCCGTAGTTGAAATGTTATACCTTCAAATCAGTTTTTAAACCATGCCAGTGGCTCTGAGATGGTTCTTGGGCAACGTGGATTTTTTTTAGCTAACGTGCTAACCGTGGCAAGGATTTTAAGTTTCGGATATTTCAATCATACGATCTGTTTTTTGTTTTTGTTTAGGAAAGTTCCTTTATGAGTTAAATGACCTGTAAGTGATAAAGGCTACAAGCTAAGGGAAGGAGCTTCAATGCTTCCTTATCTCCTTTAGAAAAGGGTACACCGAAGCATCCTTTACCCAGGAAAATAACTAATGCGTACCCAGAGATAGATGGATAGATACTTTGTTTCAGCTCCGGCTGTTTTGAAAAGGGCTTTATAAATAAAGTTGAGTTTATTGATCCCAATTGCTAATTAAAATGTTGTACAAAAAGTCAAAAGTACTGCAGCAGGAATACATGCTTACGTTACAGGAACATAGACATACTTGTATATACATAGGACAGTATAATACTTATGATATATACTTTTAAATCCAGGCTGAAGACTTTTCTTTTTGCCGCTGCTTTTAATTGAACTGTTCATATCTTCCACTGCAACTTTTATCCATTTATTTTGTCTTTTAATGTTTATTTTATTATCTTTGCTTTTTAATGACTGTTTTTAAATGCCATTTCCTTAATGTCTTTCATTTTTGTAAAGCACTTTGAAAGGTGCTATATAGATAAACTAGCCTTGCCTATAATGTACAGATATACAATTGCCGACTTTTCATGGTTACTAGGAAGGAGAAACTCAAACTATGTAGCGGTGAGTTCTCTGCCAGCCAGATGTTGGATGTTGAAAAGTGTTAATGCAGTAGGAAGGACTGTTTTCCTGTACCTCTCTGTGTGAGAGGAAGCTAATCACTGCATTTTGTTTTTCTCTCCTGCAGGAGAGCTACCCCAGAAGCGGCGAAGGAGACGAGCATGACGGACCTGGAGAAGAAACCTGAAACACCAAGTGCAGATGCTGACAAACCCGAGGTTAAAGAAACTCCTTAAAATAATCTGATTCCCAGTTGATGCTCCTGTGGGACGGCGGTCTGACTTTTGTTTCTTTCTTTTCACAGGAAGCGGTGTCTTCTGTGGACTGAGGTTGATTCATGCAACATTTTAAATAAACTGTCTGCATTTTCCACGGCTCCCTGTGAAGTTATTTCAGCGTTGTTTACTGTCGGTTAGACCACCAGGGTTGAATCGTTGAGAGCTGACAGATTATTTTATGGAACATGGTCAGAGGGTAACATCAGAGATTTGTCGGTGACTTCCAACAAAGAACAATACAAATCTGGAATTAAAGGGAGCAAAAGATCCACCTCTTAAGGTAACATAAAAATACAGTTTTTTTTTATCTGACATTAAAAAAATGGGGTAAGGCTGCAGAAGGTGTTGAGAAAAAAAACCTGCAACACGTGAGGAAGATTTAATTGCAGCTAGAACCATGATTGTCATAAAAGGTGGAAACCGACTTTTCATTATCTACTAATCTGTAGATATATGGTCTCCAGTAATCATTTGGAATATGACTTGCACATTAAGGTCTTAAATTCACTCCGAATGTTTAATTTTCGAAGCAACAGTCCCGTTAAGAAATGAAGACGATTAGGGCCCCATGTGACTTTTTCTTTAGGATCAGACTAAAAGTTGAAAGAAAATCCGTTCTGAGATTAAAGTCAGAAATAATGTATTCTCTATTGTATTCTTTTTTCCCCACGTGGCCCTTATCCTCTTACGTTAAACTCAGTGAAAAAAGGAAGCAAATGGTCACATTTAAGAAGCTGTAACCACATCTTTTTTTTTTGCTTAAAGGTGGGGTAGTTAAGTTTGAGAAACCGGCCCGAGATACACTTTTTGTTATATTCCATGGAATACTCTTAAGATATTCATTGCTATCGGGATGGCAGATTTTCTCCGGTTGTGTATTTTCAAATGCACGCGCACTCGAGCTGGTTTCTCCGAAATTACCTACCCCACCTTTAAACTATAAATACATTGGAAAATCTGAAAGTTTTTTTTTACAGATAATTGCAAAATGGTCGCAGATTTTCTTGCTGTATGTGCAGCTCTACAAAAGACCAAGATAACGGCTGATGTATTACTGTCTTCGTAGGCGGTTTAATCGAAGCAAGCAGCAAAGAGATGGCATGGATGAAAATATCTAAACAAGAAGTTAGAATATCTTTCTGACCTACTGCTTGTGTTTCAAGCTAATAAGCAATAAACTCCCTCTGAAGTGAACACAGAGATTTTAGCCTTTGCCGACCATTTACATCAGGGGTGTCAAACTCCATTTCATCGCGGGCCACATTCGCATAAAGGTTGCACTCAAAGGGCCCGTTGGAACTATATAAATATAGAACATGTATTGTATTACATTATTGCCTGTGAATTGGATTATTATCAGATAATAACTTGGTAATTAACTACGTCTGAAAGCAGAAGTCCAGGGCAAATAATTGCAAGTCTCTTCAGTGCGCATGTCACAAAACGAGATGCATTGTGGGACATGTAGCAACCTGCTTCTGTAAAGCGGCATGTAACCATATAATCATCACGGAAAGACGTGAACATGTGACTATTTACCATGCTGGGAGACGTGAAGATGTCACGATTGCGTCCCTTCAAACGTGACAGTTACACGGTATTGTTAACCAGTGGAGAAATACCCGGAAATGCCAAGCAAATGCTACCCCGACGGTCGGTTGTTGTCAATATTAATATAATTTATTTTTTAATGGTCACACTCGATTATGCCGATTTTCTTGTTGCCCCACCTGGTCGACACCTCTTTTAGCAGAAACAAAGGCTACATTAATGTATTAAATCTGTTAATCCATGCGTGTGGATGTGAAATTAACGGACGTGACGTTGTGAGATTGCGTTGCCAGGCAACAGCTTCGTTTCATGTTCATTTACAAACTCCAACTATAACCGTAGTTATATTTAAAAACATGTTAGAAGGCCTCACGAAATACTTTAATGTAAATGTGCAGGAATGTGTGTGTAACAAAATACATCGGTGATGAACGAAACCGGAAACAGACGTAGGCAAAATCCTCAGCTCGATGATTGGATGGTTTAGCCGCAATGCATGCTGGGATTTGGTGTTAATGCGATTTGAAATCCGAATTTAAAATAATAATAATACTTTATTCTGAGTGTGCTTGCTTTTCTCTTTGAAAGTCATCACATAACGGCATTGTAATACACGGTTT